GTGACTTTGTCTCTTGAAATTAGCTTTTAAATGCAAATTATTTGAAAAAGAATCCAGTTGAAATGAGATCATTTAAACCCTTAAATGGTAACTCGGTGTTCTTGAATTGCCTCAGTTGAATTCACAGGTGTGTTTCCGTCCTTGTTCTCCCCAAACTCTTTGGATCTTTGTGATGTTTCGAGGCAGGTTTGACTTTTATTGGCTCTTGGTTGTTGGTTCATTCGCTGTACAGGAGAGCTGACCTGCAGTTGTTCTAAATGAGCCTCTGAAGCTCAATGATTCTGAGTTGATTGTTAACGTTTATATTTCACCACAAACACTCCACTGTTGAAAAAGCCACACCCACGTTTACATCCACAGCAGCTTTTATTTCACATCCTGATACAACACTCAGAGTTATTTGTCATTCACATGTCAGAAGCTTCTAGAGTCATCGTCTACGTCTTCTTCAGACTCAACAACGTCATGATTACAGTTTCTACATGTGATGCCTTTACAGACTCCACAGGCCCAGATGCTGGTGACCCCGTTCTTCAGCTGCACCGCGGGTTGCTGTGATCTCCATGACGATTGCAGCTGGTGAACTTCAGTGGCTCCTCAGGAGTCATGGGGTCTAGTTTTGGAACTGGCTCATGCACACCTAATGTCCACCCATAGTCACTGGGGTTCAGAGACCTGCTCTGTAGAAGGATCCAGTCCTGGTCTGCAGAGTGAATGCCGCACCCTCTGTTCGAGGGAGAGCCTCTGGTCTGATCACTCCTGCCACCGCCTTCCTTGGGAACATGTTGTACCAAATTTGAAACAGAAATGCAATTATTGTTAATATTATTATTATTATTATTATTAGTCAAAGTAATAGCAGTTACATCATTATTACCTGTCTAACAGAGGTGTGTTCCCAAAGCCAACCCACATCACACCCTGTGAAGGCGTGACAGAAGAACAGGAAGCCCTTCTGTCTTTTTGTTCTTTACCACATCACACGGTGCTTATGACGTCCGAAAGATCCAAGAATCTGTCTTTAAACATTTTAAAACACATGATTACACCTTTACAAACATATTGGTGAAGAAATTGCTTCATATGTTTCCCTTAAATAAACGAGTGTTTCCATAATATCAGCAGAACTGATGTCAAAGTCAGTGACAACCAAAAATAATAACAGATTTCTACGCCTGTGATTTTTGACTCAGATTCTCACACTCAGGACCATGAGGGCAGAAATGTCTGAGACTGCACAATAAAATAATGAC